CCACATGCCCAGCACTTGCCTCCAGGTCCTTGTACTGATTTTTGGCTATGGGTCGTTGTCGACATCGCACCGGCTGAATCTCCAACTGCACTCCGTGTAACTTTGCCTTGTTCCTTCTGTGCTATGAAGGAAACAGTCTCTTCCAAGGTTCTGTCTGTCTTAGGATCACCAAGCAGGTCAGACAAAATTTCAGGGTCTGCAATTCCTCTAACCAGATTGTCCTTTATGATCTCATCACTGTAGTCGTAAATGTGGTTACACCCTTCCTCCTTGCATGTGGCCTTGTACTGACAGAGAGACGCCTGACCTCGGAGACTGGCTAAAAACGTTCTGATGCTGGTACCAGGTGCTTGTGTCATCTTACTGAGCTTAATGCGTTGTACCAATGTGCTCTCATCCTTCACAGCAAGCCGTTTAATGACATTCATCAGGTCTGCCTCTGGCATGTCTGTGATGTTACCTCGTTGGTCACGCATGACGTCGGTCCGAAGGTCTGAGTCACAGCAGTAGAACAGAGCAGTGGGTATGACGTTTTGGGCAATGGCCATACCCACCTTGTACATCTCCCATTGTCGAGTGAACGCTGACCACTGGTCTGGGTCACATCCAGCAGCTATGGTGGGTGGGTCCAACTTCAGTTTGGGAGCTGCGGCAGCTGCTGGCTGGGCCTGTGGCTGGTGAACAGTTCTATCGTGGATCTGGAGGGCTGCCGTCATCGCTGCGGCAAAAGCTGCATCCAGGTCCTGAGACTGCCACTCACATCCAAATACAGGGCACTCTAACGTTGGCATGTCGGGGAGTATAGATCGTCTTTTGTACCAAATTTGTCAAATTGTGTAGAACTGGTATCAGTCATAAATGATAACCATCATCCAATGAGTAACTCTTTAATTAACTAAGGATGACTGATACCTGAAACATATAGAAATAATATTACATTACATAAATGATTAGTTAATTTGTGACTGCATACATAGTGTAATTTAAAACCAGGAAAAAGTACTTCGACAGTATTTTGAAAGTGCAAATGTAAAGTCGGATCTGATTAGCTTATGCTTTAATTCCCATTATTGCAGATGAAAGTTTTGGTTCTAATATCATATCTTAAGTATAAAAGAAATTCAGTCATTTAAGCTGACTTCATAATATGGATTGACAATACGTAGTACGTTTTTTTTACTGTTGTATAATATATTGTCTTAACGTTCCTGAATTACATTTTCCACACATCTTTTGCATCATTCAATTTATTACAGAAATTGAAGAGATGCACGGAACTGATAAAAAATGTATAAACAGCTGCTCTTAATCAGGTGGACTTCTGAATTTCTAAATTGTTTTTTTTTTTTTTTTTCGTTAACCTGGAAAAGCATTTGAGATAGAGGAAGAGAGAAAGGGGCCTAATTAATAAACTGATTATCAATTAATTGTTTGCTTATAAATAAATTATATATATGGCATTATCTTTCCTGATGTTAATCAAAAGCCACAAACTGTGACTCTGTACCACAGCCCGCTCTCTTGATTTCTTTTATCAGGATGTTATGGTCAATTTGTCATACAATTTCTTGACCACTCTCCAACTAATGACCGTTTAATGCAGACAGATCTTCTTACAATAAATATTCTTCAGTAGAAAGGTTCAGGTTCACCCTGCTTGGAGTTGCCATGTTCCTTCCTTTAGCCAGGAATTTTCAAAAGATACAGGTCTTGTGTTCACCAGGTGTTCAATGGTGTTTGGTGAAGACCGCCTGGTGTTCTGACTTCGGAGGATTTCATTTTGAAGGTTATCAGAATCAACAGGCAGTTATGTATGAAATATTTCTGAAAAAAAAAATGAGGGTTGAGATGGATAATTTTTGTGGAAGGATGAATTAATTTATCAGATTCAGAAGATGAATTTGACAATGATAGGGATTTTAGACCTCTTCTCAAACTGGTAAGATCACCCTATATGGGTAATGTATTGATTATATCTAGTCATTACCATTATTCTTAAATGTAATGGATGTAAACTGCATAAATTCCATTTATTGTAAGTGTTGTTTAGTTGATTAGTATTGTGTAGGAGGTGATAATTGAGATGCCTGTACATTGTACTGTACAATGTGTTATTGTTTGGGTATTAATTAATTAATAATTAATTTGTATCTGCAGAGTCTGCATAATCAGTAACTTTAAATTTAAATTTCTCTGAGGAAAATCTGAATATCAAGGGGAAAGGGGGGAGGGAGGGACACAGGTAAGGTAATTGTTCTTTTTAGCCTGTGAAGACGTTAAGGTCCACTTAAATCTGAGGTTGAATTGTTTTTTTGGCTACACATTTTACCTAATTTACCATAGTATGATTTAAGATTACAGTTTGCACTGAGCACTAAAAGTGTCACTGCATATGGTACTCTTCATTAAAGACATCACTTGCAATTAATTATCCAGATTACTGAATTCTTATGCTTGTTCTAACAAGCACATTATTACACCAATATTACTAGCAAGCAGTAAAACTCTTTCAATTAAGCTTCAGTTATATTAGGAGCATTACTTTTGTAAAGACAATATTGTTATTGCATAACACAGTTCTTCAACTTGGTGAAGTAAATGTAATTGCTTTGTATACTTTGAGAAGCTGTCAGCTGAGTAGTCTAATCTGAAAATCAGGTTTAAACTACTTTTCTCCTAATTCTGTCATGAACCTTGTATTTGATCCTAGCTCTTTCTACTCTATAAATCATGGCTGTGGGACCCAATAGGATTATAATTAGGAGTATACTTTTTTCTATTAAAGTACCCTGATATGACAAGGATGATTTCACCCTGTCTAAGACTGGCCTGAAATTCTATCTGTCACGCAAACCCACAGCTATCACCAAAAAAAAATGAATAAATCCACTTAGTGGCCTTAAATCTTTGATTGACATGACTGATCCCAAAATACAGGTACTGTATACTGAAACCTGACCACCTGTGCGCTATTACCCAGGGGAGAGTTTTAATTGTGATCTGTGAATACTTGCATGAGCCCATTTTCTTGCAGACAGACCAATATATACAATGGAGATATACATTTAATTGTATGTTTTATTGCTTTTCTATTGGTACTTGGAATATTGATTTGTCAATACACTGGTGATAATGGACCTAATATATGAGAATCAATAATATAATTTAATATATAAAGTATACAGTAATCTATTTTGACTCTCTATTGTAAATTGAGGTATTTACAACATCTGTGTGAGAAATATTTCAGTTAAGGTAAGAATTTTTGATACTAAGTGCTAGTTTTTTTTTTTTTTTTCTAGTACGTGTTTTGATAATATAATATGATTTAATTAATATACTGTAAATAAGGTTGATAAATGACAACGTTAATGTTTCACGAATGGATGTACAGTTTTTAACATAATTTAAAATATAATGATAATCAGTAGACTTAAGACTATAGATATCTTGATTTTCCTGTAAGATCAGCTAAATCATTTTTATTCAGCGCTCAGCCTTTTCTTTTTATTACATCTTTCCAATATGAATCAGCGTCCTCAGATTGTGATTTCAAGTGATCCATTATGCTTATACTTTAGTCACTGAAAGGATTAAATGAGATTACATAATGTACAATTCAGTGAAATTATGATATTTGTTTGAACACTTAAATGACTACTTGATTAAACAATAGATTGTGCAATGGTCTTGTGAGTCGTCCTTTTCAAGTGATTTTCTCTCTATAAAGTGTTTACTTTATATCAGAAGCAGATGGTTTTCCTTCTTTAGTGATAAAAAAAAATATTCCCCATTTCTTAATGTTCAAGTCCTTGACCTTTTAAGTATCACATGACCCTTGAAACTCTCCCTCAAAATTTGTTCCGACATCATGCCACTAATTACATAGCTGTCAAACCCTCAGTAGGGATTCATTAAACTTATGTGATTACATTTAGATTGGAATATTCTACCCTCTCAAGGATTTTGCAGAGAGCACAAGTGTGGCTAATTTGTAATGTAGAATACACTGTGTTTACTTTAAAAACAATTCCATTTCTACTCCTGATGAAATCTGGGATGTCTTGAGGACCTGCTAGGTTTTTAATTTCTTACTGCATTAGGGGACATGTGTTTTTTATACAGAAAATGTGCAGTGACTTCACTAATCATCTAGAGTACGTACTGTATCTCCTTTAAAAAATGCATGATGCTCCTTTGAATAAAAGCAGAGGGTAATTCAGCCTGAATAATTAAGTTCCTGCATCATAGCATTTCAAACAAGGCCACATAAACCATCAGATCTCATTCTGTTAAGCCTTTGCTTGGTTTTCTCTTATTTCAGAAGTGATGGTAACACTCTTTACAGGGTCTTTGTCCTTGGTTATCATAAGATATAACTGGTGTGACTGAGTGAGGGCTGTTGGACCTTGCTTTATGCCTGGAGCTCATCAGTTAGACTGCTATTGATTGCTGTATCATCCTTTGATGACCTTTGCTAATTAGACTCTGTGGTCCACAGGCTCTGTGTTGCTGAATGTACCACATCCACCAGCATCCATTAATTTCTAGATCTGTTATTGATTGGATTGCTATCAGGGATTTCCATCTGTTTACAAACCAAATTTTTACGACAGTTGCTTTTTTGTGTTAACAAAGGGCAATAAAAATATTGTTCTTTGTTGTTAGATCTTGTAAGGAGAGTGTACATTTTGCTGCAGTTTCAGGTATCTCTTTGCCCTGCTTTAATTGATTTATCATGTTTATGTAAAGTAACTGCTCTTAATGTTGAAGATGATTTGTTTTGAAAGAGAAATATAATGTTTCGGTTGCTGTGAAGGGGGTTTTAGTTCCATTAATCTCCTTATTTTTTTGTGCTTGTGTAAGAAATGGCACATATTTTTATATTTAGTTTTTCAAACAGACATAGGAGTGTATAATCTTAGTAGTATAGATATTATTCAGATCATCATATGTTCTTCCTGAAGATGGATCTAATATGTGTTTCCTTTGTTTTACAGTGTCACTAGCTCCCACAGTGGAGAGGAATTTCTGCGGAACAAGAATCGTTCTCGCTCTGTCGGAGGATCACCACTCGAGTCACCACGAAGCAGCAGACTTCTTAATCAGACCGGTCTCCACAGCAACCGCTGTCAGCGACAAAGGTCATTTCGAAGAAATGAAGACGAAATAAAACGCTCAAGGTCACAGTCTGTGGCTTACGAACTCTCACAAGATTTGCAGGACAAACAGGTGGAAATGTTAGAAAGAAAGTACGGTGGATCTATACGATCGCGGCGTGCTGCCAAAATTATACAAAGGGCATTCCGCCAGTATACAATGAACAGAAACTTTGAGAAATTACGAATAGCTGTTGGTGAACGTAGATTATCTAAACGTTTATCTGAATTAGGGAGAAGTAACACAGTAAGTGCTGATGCTTATTTTATGAATTCATCACCAATTTTACAAGGTAATGGTGATTTACAAAGACACTCAGATGTTGTAGGAGGGAAACGGGTGGACAGTGATAAGCTTCGATTTGGTGAAAACCGACTACGACAACAAATGTCTTTGGACCAAAATGCACGATTTGACTCTCAATTACCTTACAGAAGAATTTCTGACAAAAGAAAACTAGAACGACACAAGGAGATAGACCTTACAGAAATTCAGAAAGATACAAAATCTGTCTCCAATGAAACCAATAATAACCGAAACTCTTGTCCTGAAATGAACGAGAGCAGTGCTAGCGACTCTCCTCAGCCCACGCCTGCAGACAGTGCGGTTGATCCGCATAGTCTCGACTTTGAAACTTTATTGGAAAATAAAGACACAGGTATCGTGTTAGCGGAAAGTTTTCATAGTGATCAAAGTAATCCCGATGGATCATTGTATTGTGGTGGATATAATCACAAGAAAATGTCAGCCTCATCACTCTATTCCAATGCAAGTACAGACACGTTAGAAAATAAAAGTGAGTGCTATGATTCTTACAAATCAAATTTCTCAGATTCTGGCTCCTATGGTAGCCAGGGTGATCTACAAATTAAAATTGACACAATCCAGCCATTAGAAACCGTGAGAACACCTGAACAAAAACAAATGGCAGACCAAGCTCACAAGTACTACATGCAACAGGGAATTAAAATGCGTAAAAATGACAGTGCAAGTTCATTATCTGGTAAAAAGCCACCTCAGGTACCTGTTCGAGGTCCTGAGGCCTCACCTATTTGGAAACGTAAAGGTGCTAACACAAATGGAACATCCCCTGCACCGATTTCCAATAAACTTCAGGAACCCAAACGCATGAGCAATATATCAGAAATCAGTGAAGCAGACTCGCTACTCGATGTTCCTTGCTCAAGTTCTCCAAGTTCAGAAACTATTAGTATAGGAAGTGAAACCAGTTTAGTGTATCAGCGTAAAATACGGTTAAGTGGGGCACCAGAACATGGGGGACATAGTGGTGTGCATAAATCTGACAAGTCACGGAAACGCACATATCGCATAGGCCTCAATATGTTCAACAAGTAAGTATTCCATTGTACGTTTTCAAACAGGGATGACTATTTGACAAGATATAGTTGGTTTCTTAATTCCATTGAAAGGTACATGAATTATATTTACCCCAGTATACACTCTGTAAAGAGATATTTAGGATCAGTCTTTGCAAGGACAGTTTTACTTGGGTGTCTCGAACATTGATTTTTCAGTACCATGGATATATGTTGAAGTGAGTAAAAAATTTGGAGTTCCCAACTACTATTTTCTTGTGAACTTCCATATCTCAAACCCTTGGATCTCAAAGTTTTTTTGGCACCATTGAGTTTTAGATAAAAAAGGTTTGGCTGTACATGTATATATATATATATATATATATATATATATATGTATATATATATATTCAATACATGTATTTGGTTACAATTTCTTTAATAGTTTGACTTTTAGTGGGCATGACACACATAAACTTGCATTACTGACTATCACGGAAATGGTAACGTATGTATACATGCTTTATTCAGAAAAACACTCAGAATAGAGCTGCATGAAATTGGTACATACAACATTAAAATCTACGATCAGGAGGTTAGGACTGGCATTTCTTGTCATGTTCAGTCCAAATTACTATCTATGAAATTGTCCTTTTTGACAAATGAAAATCTTTTGAAATATCTCTGTACAGTACAGTATGAAACCACAGTAATTAGATATTCCAAAATTTTTTCTCCATTATATAAATAGAATTATGCCAGCAAAGAGGAGCATTGGTTGTAAGTAGTGGCTGCAAATCAATCTGTAGATCTCTGGTCTGAAAAAATTGGGATGGACAAGTACCAAAGAGCTACAGTGCCACTCAATGTTATTGCACGCAAAAAGTGTGCTGTTTCTCAATTTATTTCTCCATAAATTTAAGCTGCCTTTTCAGAATATTACTGGGTGCGCCTATCATATTCTTTTACTACTTTCACAAAAATTGTATGTAAAAGTCATGCTGAAAGCCCATATTGGGCCGAAATGTCTTGCCATCCAAAATGGCAGTACAAATACTAGTACATGTATATATGAAATTTTCGATGGTGTCAACTTCAGGCCCAGGAGAGCTATTAACAAAGGTTATTTGGAAATGTTTTGTTATTTTGGCAGCATAAATAAATTGAGAAAGAGCACACTTCTTGGTGCACAATAAATATACACCTTTTTCAGTGGATGGCACTGTAGCTCTCTCTAGCTCTCTGGTCTTCCATCCCAATTTTTTTTAAGACCAGTGAGCTGCAAACCTGCAGTTATGGTTGAAGGACCGTGGTACACATTTTTAGTTCACCTGAGCTGAAAGCTCAAGTGAGCTTTTCTGATCACCTGTTTTGCTTCGTCCGTCCGGCTGTCCATCAGTAAACCTTTCATATTTTCAACTTCTTCTGTAGACCCCTGGGCCAGAAATCTGAAACTTTTATGGAAGCTTTCTGAGATGTGTAGATTCTAAATTGTTCAAATCCTCACCCCTGGGGGTGAGTGGGGCCACAATAGAGAATCAAAGTTTAACATTGAAATATATAGGGAATTTTTTTTTAAATCTTCTTCTCAAGAACAACTAGGCCAGAAAAGCTGAAACTTATGTGAAAGCCTCCTGAGATAGTGTTGCCCGTATTCATACCTATGGCTCAGGTAAGCTAGGTTTATCAAGTAAGCCAGGGTCAAGTAAACTGGGCTTAAATCCCACTTGAGCTGAGCTCACGTAAACCTCACTTGTGTTTCACACTGAAAATAAAACTGGTTTTACCTAAACTGCAGACAATCTCGTGTTTTGACAGCATTTGGTATAATATTAACCAGAGAAAGAAACGAAGACACAGGAAAATGAAAAGACAACATATATCTTCATAGAAAATCTTTCATTCCTTCATGGAAAATGTTTTACTAGGAGCGTCCTCCTATTTTGAGGAGAGACAATGTTCCAACCATTACTATCAATAAATTAATTCATTCAATATAACAAAGACCTCCACTTACTCTATAATTAAATTTTCTAAGCGAGCAAAAGACACAATTCAAGGGCAAATTCAGGAATTTTTCTCCTTTTGGGGCACGGGCATACCCACTCAAAAAAGAAAGAAACATCTTCCAAATAAAATTCATTATTTTTTTTTTAAAGGAATAAAAAGCACCAATACTTATTTGGTCACTTTCATTCTACGTGTACACGTATGCATGGGTTCAAATCCCCCCCCCCCCCCCCAGACACACACACAACTTGCCTTTGCAATTACACACAATAGTGAACGAAGTTGCAAATCGGAGACAACGTAAAATCACCTTTAAAATTTCCACCTGGGAATGGCATTGAACATTGATGTAACACACTTCAGCATGTCCATAATAAGTAGAACAGCATTTTTAGAGAATTTGTGCAAGATCATCATATATATAAAAAGATTTAATCTGTCACAGATAATTTTCGGTTGTCTTCTATCTTTTTCCAATGAGATCCAGCCTCTTCATCTAATCTTTGCAGTCCTCCAGTGTTAGAAGAACAATAAATCAACATTTAAACCTACCCTAGACCAGGTTTAGGCTCAGCTTAATTTGTGAGCTTAGCTCACTTCTGAGAAACAGGTATGAAACGGATTTAAAAAATGTAAGCTGTTCTTAGTGGTAAACCTGGTTTAAACACATGTGTGAATACGGGCATGTAGGTTTTAAATTGTTCAAATCATGGCCACTGGGGGAAGGATGTGGCCACTTAAGAGATTCAATTTCATTGAAATATATGGAAAAATCTTTAAAAACTCTTCTTCTCAAGAACCACTGGGCCAGAAAAGGGTAAAACTTTTATATGGAAGCTTCCTTCAAGGTAGTGTAGATTCTAAATTGTTGAAATCATGACCCCCAGGGGGAGGATGGGGCTCCAACAAGTATTACAAGGGGGAAAATCTGGTGAAGAACAGAAGGGCCAAAGTTACTCAGGTGGGCATTGTGGCCCATGGGCCTCCTGTTTTGAGCTTATTTTATGCCATTTGTTGAGATTTTACATTAACAAATTGAACACCTACATCAAACATTGACCATACATGAAGGAATTGATCCAAAAGTTATTCACAGCTTTTTAAATAACAGGGCTTGTTTTGCTTTACTGTGAATCAATATAATACAAGTGGGGAATGTTTGTAACTCTTTATAGGGCATTGATTGTGACTCAGAGATGAAACAATTTCCAACAGCAGTTATACACAGTCTGTATTTGTTATTATAGTCAAATCTGTTTTGATACAAAACTGTTCACCAGCTGTTTCATTGCTGTGCATTAGGCCAAGCAAACAAATGTTACTCAAGAGTTAGGCCTTTAGCAATTAATAGAATTCTTGCAAGAAGTATCGGAAAAGCAAAACATCTGCTCCTCATTCCACATTAGGTTGGGGAAGCGTAAATAATGTTAAGGACAGTCAACTGAATGATAATATCCAGTTATTATTTAAAAGTACCAGGAAAAAGTATTTTTTTTTATATCAGTTTCATTGGTTGAGTCCTTTTATACTGAGATGAAGAGTAACCTAGCTGTTTCATCATGTTTTGAAAATACTGATCGAAACCAATCGAATGATTTAAAAAATAACTTGTTCAAGTTACGTTTTCTTATTATAAGTGTTGTAAATTCAAGGCTATTTTATATATTTTTTCCTCAGTAAATAATGAGTGTATGTAATTAGACTAAATATCTAAATTAAAGTAGAAAAAATTTAGTCTTTTATCACTGCTTTGGAAATCTTATGGCAATTCTATTTTAAAGAAAATGAATCCATGACATATGGCATTACCTTAATATTTTCAAATTACGCTGTTTCTTTTCAGTCACTACAACTCTGCAGACATATTTTCTTTAAAAAAAAATAAGATGTCCATTCACCAAACTTTTGAACATTTCTTTCCTCTTTCAAAGTGAAATTTTGTGATTTGCAAAACAGTGAGTACTAAACTGTCATTATGCATTCATGTCTTGTAGAAAGCCAGAGAAGGGGATCTTGTTCCTGTCGGAGCAGGGTTTCATCGGGGAAACCCCAGCAGAAGTGGCTCATTTTCTGATCACCAGGAAGGGTCTCAGCAAGCAGATGATTGGGGAATACCTAGGAAACCTCCAGAAACCATTTAATCAGCAGGTCTTAGAGTGAGTATCCAATTGAAAGAGAAACAAATAATCCAGGAAGTCTTACATAGGTGATCCACAGATAGACAAAAAGACAATTAAGCTAGCTAGGAGATATTCCCAAACAGAAGAGGTGTAACAATACAATGATACATCAATCATAGTGATCGCAATGGCTCATGAAACACATACTGTAGATTCCTTATTTTATGCGAGTACTTAATATCGCGAAATGGCCTAAGGGCATCAAATTGCGAGAAAAATAATTCGCGAATGTGTGATTTATCTAGAAATTTTACATACATTAAAGCACCATAAAAATAAAAGTGTGTAATTTTATTTCGTGAGTGGTGCATCTAGCGTAATTACACAATAATTTATTCCTCGCATATATTTAGGAATCTACAGTAATTGTCATGTTTGTATCATGATACAGTACAAGTTAATTTCATTGTTAAAAAATATTTGAAAAATCTACATATGACCTAACAAATTTTAATGTCCCAAACTGGCAGAAAACAAGGTGGATACAAAAAGCATCAAGTTGAATAATGAGACAATGAATCCACCAGTAATAAACTTTGGTGAAGCATTATGAAGATGCTCATATTTTCTATATCTGTGAAGGTTAGGAACACAGGAATATGTAAAGATATCAATGAATTCAGTTGTTGACAGCTGTATCATGATCATGATGATACATCATGTATTGCATTGAGATATGTATTGTATCGTTAGGTAGCTTGTGATACTCAAGCAGGCCTACCAAACAGACAGTCAGTTGAATCTGGAATCCCTACTGGAGAATTTGTAAAAATTAGTATTTAGTTGTTATTTCAACTAAGAGATCCTACCCACAACAAAACATCAATTGTTTACAAGGAAGATTTGACCCCCCCCCCCTTTCTGGACACTCACTGCAGCTAGTAAGACAGGTTAAAAACTTCTGAATTAAAAAGAATTTCCTTAATTTGTTGTGATCCAAGATGCTGATTGCAATTGTGACAAAGACAGGATCACATTTACTCAATGTAAAACAATAGTAGTCAAGCAATTTCAGTCTAGCAATTAACCTGCCCAGAGGAAATCCAACATTCATCTGTCAATAGAACCCAAAAAAACTGGTTGATATAAATGGTAGGAAGTTAGCTGATATTTATTTCTGATCAAAAATAGGCTGTCTTCCTTAAACACAGGAGAGTCTTAATTCAGCCTGACAGATGGCATTGTGTTATTTTGGTCTCATGAGGTGTGCATCTTAAAGTTCCCTTATTGATCAGGGATATAAATTGTGGTTCTGATGTACTTTCTCTGATGGATATTGGCTTTTACATTTATAGAACCAGAGAGTGTTGAATACATGACTTTGCTTGAAGGTTCAAACACAGGATACATCCTTTTACATTTTTACTTTGTACCAAGTTATGAGGTTTTCAGTTGGCTTCAGACTTACTTTTTAGCCGGGCTTTGCTGAAAGCAAAGTCCTGGCTGTAGGCATCGTGATCGACTGCCTTACTATAAATAGCACATGTTCAGAAAAGTAAACAAAAAGCCTAACAGCGTCAAAGCAGACGCTTCCGATAAACAAAATAGTCACATTGAAAGACGATACTTAAACAAATATTTTTTACATATCAATCTACGGAATTGTTAATTGATCAATATTTTTGTTTGAGAATTAAATTGAAAGAGGAATTAGATATTTACTTTATTAGGGTAATCGTGATATAACAATTTGTGCACATACGCTACTGAATGCATATTGTAAGCGAACTATTTTCAATAAGCGCGGGCTTTTCGACAGGTTGCTATATTTCATATCGTTTTCGTCGATGTTATGTGAGTGGTTATATTCTCTGTTTTGTCTTTCAGCAAATAAATAGATAAGTAAATTGGAGTTTAAAGAATTAATTAATGTGCGTTATGCCTGAATTAGGTCGCCTGACAATTGTACATGGTGTACCTGGTGTATCTAGTCGGCGATAAAAGTACTGTTTGTTTGAAACTTTAAGAATATCTCTAAAAATATGTGCATTTCTTTAACTATGAATTACATAAATTATTAAACCAATATGAATATAATTTTTTTTAAAAACTAAATTCTAATTCAAATATATCTAAAGAAAAATCAGCAAACCATATATGGTTCAACATTCTTTTTTTAAAAAGTTTGGCAATTGACAGACAAACATTTTTTGTAAAAAATTAATTGTTTTCTTAAAGTTAAAATTAGTGACCTTAAATGTTTAAATTAGTGACATTAAATAAAACAAATGACTTACATATTCTCCTCACTAGCCATATGTTATTGGTAGAATTAAAAAAAAAATAAAAAATGTGTAGGAGGTCAGTCGGGTATAACCGGAAACAAACAAATTTTTTTTAGCCTAATGATGTATGTATGTAAATATTCATGAAGATTAATCTTACAGTTGTAATACTGGTAATGCTGTAATGTTTTCAATATATTACTACTCAAATAAAAAAGTTAAAATTTGAATGCGTTTAAAGAAAAGGGTTTGAAAATACGGTATTACTTCGATAACCCTGAATGCAATTAAAATAACTTTCTCCTTTCTAATAAATAATTTCGAACAAAAATCCTTATGATGGCTAAGATCTTGTGTTTGTTTGTTTGTATGTTGTTTAACGTCCCTCTCGAGAATTTTTTCACTCATATGGAGACACTACCACTTGCCGGTGGAGAGCTCCAAATTTTGTCCTATACTCGGCACTTACGGCCATTGAGTAGTGAGGGATCTTTTTCGTACAAGCACCTATTGCGACACGGGACCTCGGTTTATACGGTCTCAACCGAAGGACCGGTCTCCACGTCCCACAGTGGGATTCGAACCCGTGACGTAAGGATTAACTCCTTACTTCACGACTCTAGAGCAGACGCTCTTACCACTGCGCCACACGAGCGACTAAGATCTTGTGTAAAGGTGATGTAAATGAAGTTCAAACTATTTGTTTTCTTTCATAATATGAAATAAACAATGCGATTCCATTTGGTTAATATTTTAATTTAATAGTATTAATTTAAATGACTGGGATAAAGATTTATATTCTGTGAAGCATGGAATATAAATAAATAAAAATGTAAATTTTAAGATAGAAATTTCATGTGAATATGTTTATGTATAATATATAAATTATTTATACCCATTTAACAATCAATTTAGCGTCGAAAATTTTTATGCTTACAAATTCAGATCAAATTTTTGGTGAAAAGTCAATGGTATGTTTTGAATGTGAAAATTTTGTTCGAGACTTCTCACCTTGGATTCATCTCGCATGTGCTCCCAAAGCACTTTACAGTATATTGAGCGTGCGCGCGCATCCCCCCCAAAAAGGTCTTAAAACACATGCAAGCTCTCAAGGGTGCTGGGAAATAAAAATCGTTTATGTTAATATATAATTAAAAGAAAACAACATATAAAAATGTTCATAAGTCTTTATCTAAGTGCAACACATTATAATTTTTGAGAAAAAGTTGGTTAGTCTTTGCTTCAAAACTTCCTGTTCAGAATGAAGAGCCATCTATGTACGAGCCATAAAGACCTGAATACATCATGATTTTCTCAGGCAATGACCATTATGGCCGAACCTGGAACTAGAACTAGACTCATAGTCATGTCATAAAGATTAGATAATTATAATTTTCGTGCAGCTGGTTTCCTAGAGGACCAAAAATAAAGAATATTTCTTTTCTGATTAATACAGGCATGTAGTATCATTATCAGAAAAAAGGAGAATTGTCCAAACCCGAAAATCCTATTCCGTTGGAGAAGGAATAGGGGTGGGCTACAACTTACTTTCACATTTCGAATTTCATTAATTCATTACCAAATTACCGTACTTTTAATATGCTACAATAAAATGATGGGTACAATCTAATTAAAATTAGACTATCCATTTTGCTTTTAGTAAATCTGTTCGTCGCTCGTGATAAATACCTGGTTTATATTACGAAGAGTGAGATGAAAGTTCCAATTTAAATTTGATTGTGAAGAGTCAATCAACCTTTCAATGTACATTGTCCATTGTAAAAGTTTATGTTTGAAAAATGGTGACACCCCTAGCTCCTCCGATACTATATATGTGCCTGTATAAATCAGCAAAACCACTCAAAGTGCACTGTTACCATGCATAACCATTGTGAGCTTAATGTTTAGAAAGGTATAAATGTATTTTCATTAAAAATATCACCAAGTCCTATCCTGGGGTCTTAACGTTGGGTTCTGGACCGTAAATTTTAATTATTGGTAGATGGGTTATTGTTAATCATAATCATACAAACTCTACCTGTTAAATATCAATGGTCAGAAAGAAAGATTTTCAAATATGTACTAATTTAGGATTAGACAATACACTCGAACATATTAAAGCCCGGCTTTCAGTACTTTCAGTACTTTGATTTATCCCAAGGATCCATGGGCCATGGCTCTGCTGATATGTGCTGTAAAACTTTTAAAAAAATTTTTGCAGTTTTTGTTCATAAGATTTACCATAATGATCATCATGTGTACTGATTCAAATCCAGACACTGTTATATGTTTAAATTTTACCAACAGGAGATTTTACAATGATCAAAGCCAGTTGATCACTTCATTAAACAACAAAAATGAGAAAATCACTGTAAAGGTTTGAATTACTGATACATGTATAGTAGGAAAGGAGGAATGAATGAAGAAAATACATGTATGGCTGGACTCAGGGATTCAAATCCTGGAGTCCCTGTCTTACTAATCAGGTGCTCTAGCCACTTAGCTACCCTGGGTTAAAGATTCAATCTATTATTCCAAAATATTTTGTACGAAGCGTATTATTATTTTTATAAATATTTCATTAGTTCATCAGCAAACCATATTTCCTGTGGGTATAAATCTTCAATGAAATCACTTTCAATTTTCCAGAATAGGCTGATATCCATGGTCCACTTTTGTTGTCATAAAACTTTTTGGTGTGTGTGTTATTTTCTTTATTTGAGAAAACTTTGGAAGTTTGTTGACACAAAAAAAATTTAAATTTTAGAATCATTTGAAAATTTGATAAAGAATTCAGCAATGAAATTTGATTGTATGCTGATAAGATGAAGTAGGTACCTATGATAGAATTACCCTGTGTGGATGTAGGAATTAAAGGAAGAGGTATGAAGATTATGAGTTATTAACTGAAAACATTTTTATCTAATGTGGTATATTACTTTTATATTTTTATTGTTTCCTTTGGAACATATCCAGGAGCCAAAAAACCTGATTAGATCCACCCCCTGGAGATTATGAACCTAATTACATCGGAAAACGAAGAACGTTACCCAAGTTTACATATTACGGTAGTTTACATCAAGGATTAGGGATGCAAAGTTAATATGTTCTGAACATCAGATAGAGAGATAAAATATTATATCATCAGAGAAATCTAATGGAAAGTCTCCAGCTAAAACCTCTCCTCCATTGAATTTATCTATTTTGCACAGCTGCACTGATCAAATTTATTGAAAGAAGTGAATTTTAGTGCCCTGATGATAAACACCAATTTCCTGATCATTTTTTTTTCTCATTTATTTTTAAATTCGGAGAGTTTGAATGGAAAGTTAAACTCATGTAGGGAAAAAAAGAGAAATTTTATCGAAGACAATTTTATATCCCATTCAGCATCTCTGCAAGCTGCAGAGATTGACGGAGTTAGTATCATGCCCAACCTTCTATATTTCTATCCCTCTCTCGCCAATTTGTCTGTTGAATCTGCTTATGCTGCTATGATTTCTACCTTTGATTTATGATATTGTCATCAATAAAAGGTTAATGAGGGAAGCTTTAATAGAATGATTGAACTCATATTGCACTCCTAATAAATTTGATGACCACCCAGCTCGGGAGAGCATGTGGCTGTATTATACTGGCCAGCTGACATGACAAAGGAGATCATGACATTTCGTGATTGGAGTAATTAATTACCTCTCAATGCATCAGTTATTTAGCTGATGGGAGTGGAGGGGAGGGGACTGCTAATTTGCCATATTACGAATGCAAGATCAGGTGTTCTGATAAGAAAATCAGGTTCCATTTCAGGTGAAAAAAACTGACAACCATGACATATGAATAACTTGAGCATGTAAGTTAAGTGAAATGTGAACTGAAGGTTTTCTTTTAAGTTTCTGAGACTCCCTAAGGGGAAGGGGCAGTAAAGTAAAACTCTCAAAATCAGGTAATATGCTGTAAACTCCTCGAAATCTTTTTTCCTGGACCTATAAAACTGGATTTGACCAGAGTCACAATGAGTGATTTTCATATCTCAATTGATACATGTCAAGTTCCAGTCATTTAATTTGTTTTCTTTAAAGTAAAACTTCAGAGATATTCAGACAAAAAGGTAGTTTTATGATCAGTTTTGTCTGAGGGAAAACACAACCTTCTCTATTCAAACTTCGTATTATGATAAATTTTGTTTGCGATTTTATGTGCGCCTATCTGCAGAATGATATTTGTTGCACGTCAGATTTATATACTGCACGTGGTGCCGTACTAGTTACCACCACTGTCACTTATTGATAAATCTGCTTGATGTATCATAAGATTCTAGGATTGTAGGCAATGAAATCTCTTGTTGATGGAATGGAGTGGTGCTTTGAGGATGTGTTAATCTGCTGCTAATCCTCTTATGTTTTCATTGGCAGAAATATACCAGATAATAGATAAAGGATTTCTAATGCAGAAAAGTTTGTCATATGCAAACTGGGAGAAGAAACCATAAACAATAATTTGTCATATTCAATAGCCTATATGACAAGTTACTGCTATATACCATGTAAACAGACTTTTATATTTCTGAATGGTTTTTCTTTCTTTTTCAGATACTTTGCTCAAGAAATTGACCTATCAGGTCTCCAGATAGACATGGCTCTCAGGAAATTCCAGTCTTACTTCAGAATGCCCGTAAGTTTGTCTGCCTGTCGCTTCAATTTTATAGATACAAATCGATCCACAGGAAATCCCAGATGTGCAGTTGCTAATTGTTTCTTCATGCAGTGATATAGTATTGATTGGTGTGCTACTGTTTACTTTAAGATTTGAAATTAAAATGCAGCTGGTTTGTGTAGGAGTAAAATAAAAGGGGCTGATTATTCTCCATCTGACATTTTCACTTGGTCTCTTAAAATTCCCAATATCTGAATCAATAGATAACATATACTGAAGAACAGCTTGTCACAGAGTTTCCTAGATTGACTACTATAGTTTTATTAGAAATTCATAATTTTACAAATTTAATTCTTGATTTCTCCAAAAAAAGAAAGATTTTAGAAAAGAAGAAAGAAAAAGACAGAAAAGAGAAAAAAAAGATGAAGTTAAGAGGAAAATAGAGAGAATTAATTAAACAACAAAAAAAGAACACTTTAGAGATTGGATATTGCATACATCAGTATAATGATGAAATACCAGCTATTATCTCCCCTTTGATGTACATGAAGAAGTGATGCACAAAGTGATAATATTCTGTCAGTAAATCAACACATGAAAGGCAATCCTTACACAAATTATGAAGATATATTTTTCATAGTTACATAGCTCTGCTGTTTATGTATGTTTTCCCTCCTTATTTTACGAGGGCGATCAGTGGTTAGATATTGACTGGTGAGTACCTCATATTGGAGAAGGAATTCAGTAAGATAAGATTAGAAGCAGTGGATTCAGATACAGTGATTGGTCAAGAGGTCAGGCGGGTTCATTGTCTGATAAAACTCTATTCAGATTAGATACTATATACTTTATTACAAAGGCTGCCTCACAAAACCTTCAATCTTCCTCCCATACATCATTGTATCTAACCAGTGAGTCTCAAAATAAGCTATTTTACCCATATATCACTATCTTTGACAAAACTAGGACCAGTTTATATCTGTAAAATCTATAATGCTCCTTAATTGGAGTAGAAGTGCTGTCCTGCAAGCAGCCTAGCACTAGCCTAGCTTGGCATAAAATGCTTATAGAGGAAATTCGGGCTCTATTTGTAGAGAAAGTTGAATGTTCAAGCTGCTTTGAAGCTTGTTACATAACTATATATCTATAAAAAAAAAGCAACCCTACTTTGATGAGGCCATGCTTGTAGAGGAAATTCTGGCTTAATATCCAGAGGAAGTTGAATGTTCAAGCTGCTATTAAGTTAAAATGTTACATAATTATAATCTATACAAAAGCAAACTTTGATGAGACCAGAAACCTTGAGTGGAGAAAACATTACTCAGCTAGAATACCATCTGCCCTTAAAATAAATTTCTGGAACCAGATGGAACAGTGTCGAAGCGAGATGAATGTACTTTCGCTATCAATTTTTAGGTTGAATTTTATCTTTGTTTTTTTTTTTTTTTCCTGTGGTAGTGATTAATGACTTGTTCTCTCTTTTCAGGGTGAAGCACAGAAGATTGAGCGGCTAATGGAGGTAAAGTTAACGTGGGTTCTCTCACATCACCCTCAAGATGTGACCAATAAAAGTACAGAATTAGAGAGATTAAAATAAGAGATAGGAGGAAAAGTCCATGGACAAGATAAAATGATTTAAAAAACACTGTTTAACCTTGCAAAAACCTCCTCACTGTAGATATTTTGTTCACTGTAAGGTCAGATTTCGTAATTACTATCACATTTACAGTCTGTAGAAGATATTTAACCTGTAGCTGGCATCCATGCATATTACCTAAGGTCTGATGCTTCATTTCTGTTCAAATGTACATGACATTCCTGGTACAAGAAAAATAAATAACGACCGATTCTGCAATTAGATATAAGTAAAATAATACAATCTGTTAAAGTACACCAATTTTCTTTATTATTAGAATTAATGTATATAAGTCATTATGCTCAATATTGATCCAATGTTATGCAGTTGTATTTATTTTTACAGGCATTTGCTGATCGTTACTGTGCATGCAATCCAGACCAAATCAAGAACTTCCGAAATCTTGACACGATTTTCCTTCTAGCATTTGCAATTATAATGTTGAATACTGATGCCCACAATTCCAGCATTAAGGCTGAACGCAAAATGAAAGTAGAAGATTTCATCAGAAACATGAGAGGTAATTTTTTAGCACAGTGTTCAGAAAATAAAGCCAATATTTGCTCTACTGGTCAGAGACCAAAAGAGCTTATGCGATAGTAAGGTGTCTGTCATCTTTCTGTCTGTCTGTCTAGTTGTCCATCTGTAAACAATTTTTCAAAACCTACTCCTTCTACAGTTTTGATCTGATTTTAATATAACTTGGCATGCAAGTAACTACACTGCTGAGACACATAATTCTCTTTATGCATTTTTTTTACTTTGATGAATAGTGTTGCCATGGTTATTAAAATTTGAAATTTCTGTAAAACTCTTGCAAAAACTCCTCCTACAGTTTTAGATTGATTGCAATAAATCTTGCCACAAAGTGAAAATAAACTATGGATCATTATTCTATTTATTGCTGTTGCTTAATTTCAAAGTGCTGGTTTTCTCTTCCTTTGTTTTAAGTACATGTACAAACCAGTAGAGCTACATCTCATCAGAGACTTCTGGTTTTCTCTTCTTGGTCATAATTTATAGAGTATTAAAAAATTTAAATTAAATGTCAAACTGCACATGAGTAAACTGAATTTCACTGTTTAACATCGGTTTTCATTGAGTAGCAAAGAACTGAATATCACTTCTTTTTTTTTCCAGAAGTAAATGTCAGAATTTTAACCCCCCCCCCCCCCCCCCCCAACACACACCTTTGGTGTGTAAGAGAAAATGAACTTTAATATAAGTACTTACTGATGCCAGGTAAAAATTGAAAAGGGTATATATTATTATTGATTATTGAGAGAGTGAATTTGTCCCTGTCAAGATTGATTTTTGACTTAGGTCTGAACATTAACAGTGGATTAATTTTTAGTGTATGAAGCAATACTTTTATAACATATAAGTGAAATTTTTAGTGAGATGTAAATTTAGTGATTTATCCCCAAAAATTGGTATCTTTTTAGCGAGAAGTAATTTTAATGATTTATAATGTCAAGAAAGACAGCTATAACAACCTGTAAGGAATAAATTGTTAGCGATATTCAATTTTAGCAATCAAAACCCTTGCTAATAATGCCAAAATTGAATCCTTGCTAAATATTCTGCTTATAGGATAATTTGTTTGATTGTTCAGTAAAAACTGACATCAAATTTTTTAGGGATCAAAATATAAGACCAGGAAATAGATCACTAAATGTGATTGCAAAATTAACACTCGGTGTCAGCATTGTAATTAAAAAATTAACTAAGTATATGTATACATGTAGGAATTTTGTGCAATTTTAATATGTACTGTGGACAATCTGTAGAGAGAAAATCCCATGTACATTTAATATTTACATATAGTATAAGTATGTTCTAGAGAAATTCAAATTTTTATACCAGGTCATGTATTTATTAAATTATTAGTCCCTAGAAGGTGTGTAGGTTTCCTCTCTGTCTGTCTGTGTGTCTGTCTGTCTGTCTCTCTCTCTCTCTCTCTCTGGCAGTCAGTCTGTCCCACTAATTTTTTTTCTGAGATTTTTTCCTAGACACTTGCATATACACTGTTTGTGTGTATTGAGCTAAAGATTTTGATTTCTAAGTCTGTCCTGATAAGTTGCAGATCAACTTCATATTTCATTTTGCTTTGATGATTTTTGTTGGAATTAAAGCTTACAGTTGTACTCTCAGAATTTTGTTGGAATTACAGATTGGAGACTCAGTATTGCACATATCATACTCTCAGAATGCTTGTCTGAAAGTTGGGAGTCAATATCACTGCATAAATCTTCTGAATTAAGCTAAAAATTTATATAGAAAGCATTATCTGCTCCCTGTAGAATAACTGTCAGACTGACAATTTAAAGACATCATCATGCCTGTGCTGAGTGTGTTTTTGAGCCTTCTAGTCTGAGGTTGTTTATTCTGAATGTTGTAAAAAATGTCATTAATCATGCAGGTCTGTGTAGAACAAACGAAACAGTTTGATGAGAGATTGTTAATTATAGGCTTTTAATTACCAGGATCAGACCAGACTTTTCTAAAAACACTACACAGATCACGTAGTTGGACATAAAATCTCGTTTTTGATAATTGCAGTTCAGCATTTGTTAATAAAGAAGTATTCTAAGGACCCAAAAGCATGTGTACCTCTCAAATTTTCTTGTACACATTACAAAATCAGTTTTAGTTTCAAATTATGCCGTTGAACCTAGTCATAGGTACATGTGTAGATAGTTATAAATCCACAATATTTCAACAAGTAGTTTTGGATATTAAGTTGAATTCTTTTGTTTCTAGCAGATTGCATACAATATATTTTCAGTATGCAGTTTTATAAATCATTCTGATTGATAATAAGCTTTTTTCTTAAACACACAGACATAGATGATGGCCAGGACGTAGATAGAGACATGTTGATTGGAATCTACAACCGAATCCAGACGCAGGAGTTTAAACCCGGAGTTGATCATGTGACACAGGTCATGAAAGTCGAACAAACAGTGGTGGGGAAAAAACCAGTGAGTTGTCATACCTAGGATACTTTATATTACATAGAAAATTTCTATCTGAAATTATAAATCCTGTGTTTGCTTTCAATTGGGAAATTATTTATCTGATAAGTTGACACACAGACCACTGGCTATAGTTCTGTAAACAAAGATGCAAAGTTCATAATTATGTGATTATACATATATGAACAGTTATCTATATTGATATTATGACAGTGTGGCTCTTCATTATCAAAAAAATTTTTTGAATTTAATACCGATACACTTATGATAGTACATGTGTACATGTATTCTGAACTACATTACCTAAAACAATAGTTGCAGGCATGTAAGAACATGTACACATATAACTTTTATTGTATTTTTAGCAACTGGCTCTTCCCCATCGGCGATTGGTGTGTTACTGTCGTTTATATGAAGTCCATGACCCAAATAAAAAAGAAAAAATAGGTCTCCATCAGCGTGAAGTCTTCCTCTTCAATGACCTACTTCTGGTAAGCATTAAAAGAAAGATAACTCATACTGCATGTTTTCAAAGTCAAAAGCATTAATAATCAATTCAATTTGATCTCAAAAGGCAGCATGCATATAAACTTTGAGGGAAAAAGTATGAGAAAGGACTATTCATCCATTTGATCTAGGGATGGGTATCGGCAAAAATTTCATATCGTGATATATCACGATTTTTTCCCAAAAATATCATGATAAATCATGATATTTTTACACGCATTTTTGACTACAATTTCAAATGAATTTCCATAATATTTCTTAAAAATATGTAATAAAAACATAACTTTACTTTTTAAATTTTCATTTATTTAATATAAGGCATGTTTTGATGCCGTTGTTTAACTGTTTTCAACATTTTTTACACTTCCTCTTATTGTCATTCAATAGTTTGAACAAATAAATGAATAATTTCTGGAATTTATAGTTATGTACCAGATACCGGTATTTTAGTCTCAGCATCACGATACGTATCACGGAATAAAAAATCGCGATATACCGGTATACCGATGAAATCGCGCATCCCTAATTTGATCTATTTAAATGAGGTAACTGTTGTTTTTTTTTTTCAGATTACGAAAATTTTCAGTAAGAAGAAGTCGGGCATTACATACTCGTACAAGCAGTCCTTCCCTCTCAGCGGCATGCAGGTCTTTCTGTTTGAAACGTCACGTAAGTTGGCCTAAACCTTTCTAATTACTGGCCAAAACAAAAGCTGTTGCTGTTAAAAATTCTTTTTAACTTCCCGACATATTTTTTAATTTAATGTGATCTTCCAGTCTGAAACACTTGCTGATAATGTCAATGACAGGCATGGCGAGGGACCTTAAAGTGTACATGCACCTTAAAGTGTACATGCACATAATTGTTAAAAGGTTAAAGGAAAATGACCTCCCTTAGACATGTTTTTGTAAATTTTGTGATTATAATCATTATCGCCATTTAATTGTGTGGGTTTAAAATATTAGCTTAACATTTAAGAAATTGTCCTGTATAATGACAAAATACCTTGTAATTGCTCTATTATGGCAAGGATTGGTTGGTTTTCCTGATAAGGAAATGGAAGTTTCCATCAGAAGCTTTATTTTTCAAACCAAATATAATCATGAAACAATTGTTCAATTATAAATATATTTATAAAAGTAATGAATATTTTGTACATTCTAAAAACTCCAAGAGTTCTTTTATAATTTCAGATTACCAGTATGGTGTGCGGCTAGTGGGAGGTGTGAACCATAAAGTACTGATCACGCTCAATGCACGAAACGACCACGATCGACAAAAGTTTGTAGAAGATCTAAGGGAGGCAATCTTAGAGGTAAAAATAAGTGAAGGTTAACTGTATGGTGATGCAGTGCAATTTAAATGTCATGATAATTTTGATTCAGACTGGAAGTTCATGAAAATAGAATTTTTTAAAAGAAATCTGTCTCACAGAAAAATATTTTTGTACAAATACAAAGTAAAACTTTGTTCATTTATTTTAAAGGATAATTTTGAAATTTATCTTAAATTCATTAGAAAGATATAAAAGACAAGAGTTTTAACTCTTCAATATTCCCTTTACAGACCAATGGAATGGAAACTCTACGAATAGAAGAAGTCCAGAAACACACAGCCAATCACAACACACTAGACAGACATTATGCAAACGACGACTCTCGTGTATTAATGTACGAGCTCAAGCCATCAGATCCATCTATAAATAGACTGTCGGCTCCCGACTGCCCCGCCCTACAGAAACTCCCTCTGTCCAATTCTCTCACTGATCTTTGTCAAGGTACGCATGCGCATGACTGTCTTTTGTTGCATTTTTGAGTTTGCAAACTCCATCGCATGGGCTCACTCTACTTATAAAATATTATGGGACTATGGAATGGTGGTAGATGGAGTATTCTATGATTTGCATGTATGCATTCTATAAAGATTGACTACATTGAGGTATATAATCTCAAAAGAACTTTATAATACACATACTATTACTAGTTTTTACTGTATGTGAAAATGAACATGATATCAGAGCTTGAATCATACAAAGGCAATGAGTAAGGGGTTCCTGATATTTAGAAAAAGCATGACTTCTGGAAAGTTTGTTATTACAAAGTCTTTAAATCAGAATGCATGAAGAATGTTTAATATGTATTAAAAATTATCAAAAAGATTTTAATAATATTCCTATTTATCTTGGGAGACACTGGAGTTTGCCTTTTTCCTCTTTATATTTGATTTTATATTTACATTATTTGCAAGCTAATTTATATTTAACATTAAGGACTGTAAGTATTTACATGTGCTTTTCTTTGCTTTTTTACTATTGTTTATAGTTGACTATTCTGACATTTTATTTATACCTCCAAACTGATCACTCGACAAAATACTGAATTTTTCCTATTCTTTATTAAAGAGTTGAAGTTGATGCATGTTTATGCCAGTAAACACAGTATATAAACATACAACCAGTCAATCATGAAAGTCTGTGCAATAAAATAATAAGAACACATAGTTTTCTAGTTGCATGGTTCAATGTAAGGGACATAACTCTGCTCATATAAGTGACAAAGACACTGGGTCCAGTTCCCCTCATAGCCATGGAAACATTACAGATTATCTGCATTTTTAAAATTCATAAGTAATTTTAACAAGTACTGGTTCTTTTCAATGAAAATGATATAGCCAACACATGGCTGTTGTTAATGGACACCATTTGATTGACAGGTCAAGGGATGAGGAGAGGTAGCAGTGGTGGATCTCTAGACAGTGGGGTGGTGAGTGCATTAATATATACAATGTCTGAAGTGTGTAGGGACAGTGACTTAGTGAAAGTTTGTGTTAATTTGTAAACAATACTGAAATATGTTTTATAGCAATAACAAAGTGAATAGATGCTTGTTTATTATGTCACACTAAACCACATCAATCTAAATTATTTTTTATTTTTGGTACCTTTAATTAGAAATTTGATTAATAGTAAGGTAAGAGTAATGAGTAATTATTATTACATATTTACAGATAGTATTGAAAAATAAAGGAAGTGATATTTATTAAATCACCTTTGTTCCTAATTGACAGGCCTCTGGGGGATCAGGGGGAGTAATGGTGTGTGGGGACAGGGTATCACAGAATAGCCAGACCAGTTTACATTCCCGGGGGTCGCCAGCCACCCCCAAAACCAGTCAAACTAGCCTACAGACTCTAGGCTCACCAGCTCTACAGCCAGGGGTCAAAGGTTACAGGAAGCAAGCAGTGTCACTGAAAAAGGGGTTACCAGTGGGGACAGATGTCTGAAAAAGAAGTGCTGTAAACGTCAGGGTCATTACCTTACGACAGCTCGGGGCACCTGTTAAAAGGGGTGCGATGCTGTTCTTGCCGGGTCCAAAAAAAAGAATTGTTCTGTGAAATAATGAGAACTTAGATGCAGGCATCATCTGCACAGAATACTACATGAGGAAAACCTGTTCATGGTTAAAAGGTCAAGGATCGCTGAAGATTTCCAAGGTAGAGTTATATGCTGGTCATAGTGGTGAAATGAACATGGTTTCACAGGAAGTAAAAATCCATGTCCTGTATAGGGAAATAACAAGATCAATATGTTGAATAGTGCAATGCTATAACAATCACATCAAGTAATCACTGTAATGTTTTAGAATATTGTATTCTTTTACACAATCTAGCTGGAATTTGGGACAGTTGATTATCATGTGCATTAATTGGCATGTCTGGACTTTGTTCACAATGCCAAATAATTCTGTCTTCTCTGATTTGTTGATATATTGTTGACTTTGTGATATGGAAGAGAAATCTCACCTTAAAGATGACATTTAATATTATTTATTGAAAACATTGATGTAAGATCTTCTATACATGTGTGTTTTTGTGTGTGTATATTTCATTGTAAATTAAGATAGGTGTGGTAGAAATACAACTCAGTGTGTGCGATTGTACAAATTATATCTATATATATGCTTACTTTTATTTATTTGAAGAAAAAAAATGTTTGTATGTGTTTTATTTCAACTAGCAGATTGAATTTGAAATTTTATTATTTGTATTTTTAAAGTTGCACTCAAGTTCAGCTTACTGAATGATAAATGGACAAGAATAATTTTTCATAAATTTGAAAGCATCGACAAGTTATATATACATGTAATTACATTTCCAGAAATTGATAATATACTTTCATCTGTCAAAAATTGATGTAAATCTGCACCATATTTTGTCTCCAATATGTTAAGTTTACGTGTTTATAATTGCAAGTTTCTTCATAACTTTTGATATAATTGCTTAAGTATTTTGAATTTTCATAATTGAAACATTATGCCAAAATTCGTATTGTATTAATGAAGTACCATATTTTGATGCTTCAACTTAAAAAAATGTCTCAAATAGATGAACAATATACTTTTATGCTTGAAGCAATTATTACATAACTCTGTATTTGTTAATGAAGTATTCTGGAATAAGAATAATATGTAATATTTTAATTAATCATCTTGAACATATATCTACAAAGACAAATCAATTCTGCTGGATACAGAACAAATGAAAACTTGTTTGATCATTGTATTTGAAATAGAGAAATTTCTGAGTTTGTCGCCACATGATTAAATAAATAATCCACATAAAGAATTATTTAGGTATCGAGATACTGATTAGTTTACGTATTACATTGTCAGACTCTGCAATACTTGTTTTCCATGTTTGATGAATGGAGAAATATTTGTTCTTGTTCCAAGGACAACCAGAGAAAAATAAATATAGCATGTAAACTCAAGAGGAATTTACTTATATATACTTATATATACATTAATTATATTAGGACTCTTCATCTTGAGTTTGAGTTATTTTGAATTATCAACAATTTAGAAATAAATGAAATGTACATTAACTTTTGCATTCAAGAGATATGAAGAGTCTACATTTAGATATCAATTTTTTCTCAGGGAAAAGTTTAAGGATTTTCTTCATCTTTGTGGTGAAAAAGAAGGGAAAGAAAATTGAACATTACATGACTGAAATCAAATCTTTTTTATATCATAACTGTGACAGTATAATATACTGTGACTTTGAAAGTTGATTATACAACTGCAAACAAAGTTTAGGGAGGTATATTGAAATCAGCATGTCTGTCTGTCTGTAGACATTATTTTTTCCAGACATGTTTTAAGAAAATGCTGCATGGATTTGTCTAAAAATTTGTACACCCTTTATTTATCATGTAAAGATGTGCACCTGGTATTTTCATTATATTTACAACCACTGAATATTATTTCCTTCATTTTTTATAAAAACCATTGCGATTAATCAGTCCATAAACAACACTAAGCAAGCCACCTGCATAGGTTTCTTAAGCAACGGCTGTTGCATCAATTATGCGTACGACATACACATCTATAATACAACATTTAACATATTTAATGTACTTTGAATGTTTTTTTTTTAAAGATATAAATATAAACAATAAAATGTCTTTCTTTGTTAGTACGGGAATTAACGTTGCAGCTAATTGCAGAAAAAAATTTACAAGTGGGTTATGTATTTTTTTCTGCAACAGCTGGGACATAAATTCCCATACTAACAAGCAAAGAAAGCATTTTATTGTTTAAATGATTGTCAATTTTTCTTCATTTTATAGGTGTGTTTTATTCTTACTTTTATGGACTTAGTCATTTTGTTAAAGATGTAGTCATTTTGTTAAAGATTTAATAATTATAACTTAAGTATATAAAAACATAGAATCATATCAAACATGGGTAGAGAATGTGTAACACATTAAAGTTAGGTCACTGTAACCTTTAATTAAAATATCATAGCCAAATATGGTAAAACGTAAAACCGGAAAATTATTTGGCTTACAATAATGAAACTGGTCAGCAAATTATCTTTGGCAAAAGGTGTGTCACATCCTTCATTAAGGACACTGTGACATCTAAGATTATGTGTAATGGCTTAATATGTCAATACCTTTTGGGGTGCTCATATAGATTTGAGACCTAGAATAAAGAAACTTTGTCAGCTGGTGCATTTGTAGAGAAGCTTGAATTGCAGTTAAACCCACGATTCATGAAAGGAGGAGAGTTAGCTTTGTCCACCATATTACTTATTCTCTAGGCTATGTTTCTCCAGCCCCTATATAGGCCTCGACCTTTGTTAACGGTTCAGTGTATTTTACTTTACATATTTCACATGTGTGGACGTTTCCTCCATTGTCATTAATATTTAATGACTTCTGTATGCTTCTGCCATGCCAGGAATAAAGGAGATGGGCGAACATAGCGTGCAGAAAGCCTATAGCTTCAGATATATAAAAATCATGTTCAGTTTGTGAATTTAGTATTTAGAGTAAAGTTCTCATTATTGAAATTTATGAAATTATGATAAACAAAACTTTTCTGAGGAAAATTTTCTCGGCAAAATTTATTCTTTTAGTAAAAAAAATTAATGTGGTATTCGTGTGGTTCGAACCCTAGCAATAAAAATCCTGAGTATCATTTTCTTTCGAGACTAGCACGCTAACCACTAGACTACATAAGTCCTGATAAAGTGTAGCATTTAAATCATGTTTGTGATATGACCCTTGACTTTTTCTCGAAAAGCTGCGAATGTTATGTCATAAAAGTATATTTTTAAGGTATAGTGGGTCATTGCTCCATATTTTTGGTAACCAAAAATGTATATTTTTATGCAAATTTTGAGGATTAACTTACAAAAAGATGGAGCGAAGACCCACTCATATCGAAAAATAGTATTATAGTATGAGAAAATGACTCTTTTAGCCCGCTTTTGTGTGTGTCTAATATTTCACAGGCAAATAATTTCAATATTTGAGGGATTTTTGCAAATTGTAGAGATTTTACATAAGGTATATTTTAATGTTAGACGAAATATCAAGGAAAATTTTGATATTATTGAAGTTTAATTTTTCATCTTCATGTTTGTCACACTATAGGCTTATCGCTCGTCATGTTCACCCATCTCCTTAAATTACGAAAGATATCGTATATAAAATGTACAGGACAATGCATTTCAAAGTGAAACAAACACAAATGCACATTATGTATACGAAAGGGCAACTAATACATACATGTACTTCACACAATAGCGACCAGCTAAAAGCAGTCAGGTGTAACAAATACAAAGGGTTAATATACCCCAGTGCTGATATCGGAGAAAGGAAAACTATTATGGCGTGTGTCCATATACGAGTCGTGTTCAGCTTTAAAACTGATTAATGCGTTTAGTATTTTGATGTTTTATTAGCCTGTGGCACATTTCACCATTCATAAGAAAATACAACGAACAATTAAATTTTGAACATTGTTAACACTCTTATGATCTATAAAATACTTCTAGTGACTTGGTACCTTTTCTTAAAGAAAAAAGTGAGTGGAATTGGGGGTTATTTGTCCGTTTAGGATAGTTATCGTTTATTTAGGTACTTAATGGCCTGCTATCCTTAAAGTCAGAGGATATAGCGAAAAAGTTCTCGCTTCCTCAGTGTAAAACAAAGTTCATGTTATTTTGTAATTGTTTTATCGGAAGGCACTTAGTGCATGGTGCATACCAGGGCTGTACCAAATATACGCATCTTCGAATGAGAATCTGAGTATGGATACTAGATTTATCATATTAACTTAGTCTGATGTATCCTAATGCAATAAAATTCATACCTCTCATTGAACTTGGTCCACCAACCAATATAATTAAATCTTCCTTGGCCCTAGGCATGTTCATTGAAACTACTTGCTGCACATTCTATTCATAATATGAGGAAAGTAGTTAGGCTTGGAAGAAAAAATAAAGAAATTCCAAAACATGCATCAAAATGTTCCCTCTCAAAATATAATCGTTCCTCCTTTCAGTTGTAAACGGTCAGCATTTCCTAGAAGTTCATTGAAATCTTCCAAAACCTTTAGTGTTATGTTCCGCAGGCAGACAGACATAAAAAAAATTACCTCCAAATCTCTTTAATTGCGTAGGTTATTTCATACTTTTAAACATACATGCACAGTATATTAAAAACCTTAAGGACCCTTTACAAACATGGAGATCAATCAAGATCTTTGGACGATTTGAAATTTGTTCAACCTACCAGCCTTCTCTGTAACCTCGAAAAGTAAGTCTCTGTGTGAAAGTGAGAATATTGCTACAGCATTTTCTCCCAAATCTCACACAATTCCCTAAGAACACTGGGATCTCAGTGATCTCTCAATCATTCATTGATCTCCAATAGATGCAATCTCCAGTAAGCTCAGCGATCTCTGCGATCTTCCAATAATCTTTCATACATTTCTACTTTTATGCTTTATAAATACATTTACATGTAATTTGCGTTTTTTGAAAGACCCCAGGGATATCATTGGGGAATCCAAGAGATGTTTTGTCAATCTTTCAGCAATCTTTGGGTGACCCTTGAGTGATTTATGAGAGACTGTATCGTAGAGTGAACACTTTGATGACACCATGGAGGCTGAGGTATGTTGGTGATAACTGGGCAAGAAGATCATCGAGAGATCTGGCCAATTTTGCACCGCTTAGCAATCACAGTCGCCACCTTTGTGTATAAGTGATTTTAAATATTCTACCTCGCTTAATTAGTGCTCAAAATATCCGTCCAAAGAAAGCCAGTAAAATAAATTGGTATTGATTTAAAACAAATATTAGTCAGGAAAACAAATACTTAAAAGATTAAATAATGTAAACAAGCACGTCTGGAAAAGTACCCATGCGAAAGTGCTGTGCTTTTCTCACAAACTGGAGAAGGTTGTCAGAATTAGCTTCTGTCCACATGGTCACATATGATGTCTCCCCTTCTATGGACGAGTTTAATATTGTCTGGATGTATTGCCAGTGAGGCACCTATACGCCAGCTTTCAGCAATAGCAACGAATATAAAAGCCACGTACACCTCTTGTGAGAAAGTCCAGAATACGAACAGCACCAGGCGATGCTTTGCGGCTTGTTTATCAAGATTTTCGTATTTCTACTCATTCAGTATTAGCAAGGTAACTGTGTGCTGTTACTGCTGCCAAAACGTACCATAAGGTACAGCCGTTCCAGACGTCCATTTGGTTAACTTCAAGTTGTGTAAGTTTCGTTATTTGATTCAACAAAGGTTATATAAAAGCCGCTATACCAAGCTTTATTAAAAACGTTTTGTTGTTATAGCTTCTCTTTTGCTTTAATGAATACTTTAAATTGACTGGAAGAGATGACGAACTACATTGAGATATAAAATGAATGTATTTTCCTTGCAGTTAGTTGTGGCAGTACTTACACTCCTATTGTACTGTCCGGATCCCGCCACTGTTGGCGGTTTGTTGGAAATCTCGTCAACTATTTAACTGCAAAGTCTCTATGTGCTGGAGAAGGAGGCAATGTCATCAGGGTAGACTCGCAGGAAAAGCAGAACAAATTCAAACAGTTTATTGGTAAGGAACTCATGTTATAGGATAGGGAGTGTTCTGATAGATAAAGTGGCGAAAACTCAAATTAATCAGCTCACCGGAGTCAGAGGCTAAAGTTACTAAATGTAGTTCAACCTGTGTAAATACATGTATATGTCTGTCTGCACACTTTTATGTACATGTATGTGAAAATAATACTTATACAAAGCGTGAACCTTTTCAGTGTCTCACATGAGTAGTGCATCGGGTGTTTGGATACAAGCCGAACGAAAGAACGCGGGATGGATTTACGACGATGGTACTGCTCTTACGTATAACAATTTTGCTCCACCTCCTTATGGTGACAACGGAGATCCTGCTTCGAACA